TGTCAGCCATACTCTCAAGTTTCTCATTACTTCAGAAAGGTGTTAGAATAATTAGACTTCACATTCTCTATATTTTTCATATTTTCTATATATGTCATACTGAAATTGCGCACTCGAGACTACGCTTCTAGAATTGCATTGCTTGAACTGCCTGTAAATAATCTTTTCAGATGTAAAAATCTATTTTCCTTTATCAATCTAAATACGCCTTCAGATAGCTGTTTTAACTGTCTAGGCATGTATTATTCTGCCTTAATCTCTGTTTATGAGAAGTTTTAAAAGTGATGAAGAAATTATACACTGCAGGTTGTCCAAATGAATAAATCCAGTTGAAAGTCATAGTGATCAATTCTGTAATCCAATAACATTCTTATTGTATGAAGCAGAATTTGACTATTTTTACAGCATTACAATTGTAATTTTCTTGATATCAAGTATTTTCCAGATCTATATTTGTAGTTGGAGTCATCACTCTGCCAATGCCCTATATTCAAACAAATCTTGCAATGAGTCTTTAAAATCATGACATTAAAAACAAACCAACAAACAAAAAATCCAACAGTTATTCTTATTTGCTTCCTGAATATAGAGATTCCCAGGTTTTTATGTTTTTCTCTACAACTAGTTTCTAGGATGTTCAGAAACTTTTTTTTGGGGTTTTTTTTTAAATGAAAGCTGAAATTCACAGGTATTCACATAATACCTGGTGAATTTTGTGAATGTTTTCCTGAAGAAAAACACCAATTATTATGAAATTTATAGAGACTATGAGAAGAACGGGTAACATGAAAGCCCAGTTAATAAACCCCAAAATTTATCTGAGGAACTGCAATGTTTTTCCAAAGAATACCTATACAACTGTGAGGTATCTCAGATGATACCTTGATCCAAATGTGTTCAGAATGTCCCATTTATTAAGTTGACAGAGCACTCTGAAGTACAGATCAGATTATTTGAAATACTATTACAAAATTATGAAAGGGGTGATTAATACCTGTTCTCAGCAGAATACTAAAAGGTACTTAGGAGAAATATGGTCCACAGAGCTTGTTAGCCATCTCTGTAAAAATATATGTCAATACATTCTCAAATGGTTAGATGTCCTTCACTCTACATGACAGTAACATCCCTAGGCCACACCTGCAGCATAAGCTTAACTTAGAACTCAAGACTGTACCAAAAGCTCATCAACAGAGAAACATACTGCAGAGGATTTCAGTAACAACAATCTTAAAATGCCACCGTGCCTATCTACTCTGAAACAGCATTTTGTACTTGAGTCATCAGGTTATCTCACAGAAACAATACCAAAGAGGATTACAGCACATCCCTAGTTTGTGTCTACAGTCTACAAGGGTTACACGGCACCGGGTGTTGCTATTCCCTCAAACCGGGTTTCTTCAGTGTATCTCATGCTTCTTCACATCTACCGTACCTGTCCTACATAATGATTGTACACATGATTGTATACCTCCTGTGGTGAACCTGGTGTGCAGACAGAGTGGATAAACTTTCCCGGTGTCTGAAAGGCAGGTAAGGGGAACACCTTGGGGACTAGACCTCCAAATCAGCGAGGGTGGCCACTGTGCCCAGATAAGAGTCCCACTGATTCCTTCAGGCACAGTTGCCTTCATCCCCTCCAGCCCAGCAGAACAAGTTTTAGCTCTTTGGTGTCATTAAGCTGTTAGTTACAAAACTATCATTATTATAACCAAGGGGACAAAACCGGTAAAAGACAATACAGGAATTTTGTTTAATTCTAGAAGGTTGTGCATTTGAATATTTACTACAAATAAATGTGCCAAGTGGAAAGTTTTGCACCTAACATTTTTTCTTACTGGTTACCTCCTACTGTGTCTGCCTCAGCATGAGGCAGAGCTTATCCAGTGTACTAGACCTCTTTTGCAAGCAAGTTACATACTGTCCCTGGCTTCCTTGCTTCACTACACTTGTTTTGATCCTTCCTGGAAAAGACTGAATCTCTACCGTCTTCGGGAGACCAAAACTACAACCTGAGATACTAGACCTCAGGCAGTCAATTAAATAGCAAACATGCATCCTGCAATGCTGACTACCCAAGTTCCCTTGAGCTAAATTTCATCTATTTTTCCCCTTCAGGACATGAAAGTACTTGGACAAACAAACACAAAAGACTTTGTCAAGAAAGGACTACCATTGAAAACATAATCTATGTTGCATTCAGAGAAGGACAAATATTTCAGGATCAATTCCTTCCTCTATCTCTCTCCATCCTCCTGCTCCCCGCCCCCTGAAAATCAGCCAAGCATCATCCATTTTTTTGCAAAAGTTAAGGAAAAAAAAAAATCTCTGTGAACACTCTCAAGTGGAACAGGAACGGAAAAAGATAAAGAAGAACAGAACTTTTTTTTTTTCATTACTGTGTTCAACCAGGTTAAAAAACTTAGAAACATACTATTATGCAGCATTATATACTAAAATATATTATATTACCTAAGAATGTTGCAGCTATTTCTTAGTCCACAAATTCTAAGTAGTTCAGTTCTTCAAGCACTATGTTATAGTGCAGCAACAAGTTCTGGGAATTAATATCTTTGTCTGGTAGATTTCTACAGATGCCCTATATCAAACTAGCACTGCAAATATTCAGGTTTTATACAGGTAAAAGATTTTCTTATATACCTCTAACCTTCCAAAGTCCCATTCTTATGGAGGGTTGTCATAGTTCCTCCTACAGACCATTGAGTTCAAGTCCACCAACTCATCTAAGCCAACACCTTTTTGGAAGAGCCATAATGCAGTGTTGCCAATACTTCCAAGAATTTATGTTTTTCTCACAGCCCCAAATTCCTGTAGCTTTCTGAAAATCTCAGCTTTTTTTCCTAAAAGACTTTCCAGGCCCTGTGGGTTATCCAGAAAAGACTAAATGTGACCAGCACAACACAACATCTCTAAAAGCTAAGTACACAGGTCCCAAGGAATACGTAGCTTTAAAACATCATTATTGTTACACCAACTTCACCTTCTGTCACAGTACTGCTACCATGAACTGGAATTACCTTGAACTATGAGCCCTTGCATGCTTTTTCTCCCCGAGGCTCTAACTCTTCCTTGCAGTCTCCCCATTTCTCGGATGCTACTTTTGCAGGATATACTGGCAGTGACAGCTGAGCAGCACACCATTAGAACAACCTCCTCAGTTTTGCTGTGAATCTCTTCAGTCTTTGGGAGAAGCGTACTGTATGCAAGTGCATCTGTTTGAAGCGCATGAAAGAAATAATGGAGTTCCTAGTACTTCATGCCAATGCTAAAGTCTTACAACCACCTAAGAGTCTCCAGCTCCCCTTCATGCGGTGCTCTCTTACGCAGTCTGCGGGGCATCACACCCACCATTCATCAGCAATAAAAAACAGAGACTGCCTCAGAAGGAAGGTTAAGTGTGCCCAGGTTTTCTCCTCAGCCATGTACTGTTTCCTAAACCTTTCTTTGCAGTATCCCTGGCCCACTGGCCCACAGGACTGGAAATGATTAAGAGCAATGAAAAGCTTAGAAAACTACTTACTGTTGGTGAAGAAAGGTGAGCACCCAGATTATTTTACCCCAAGTCTGGATTTTGTATTAAGTTTTTTTAACCCCAAATCCAACCCTTCCTCTCTGCATTTCAGAGCAGGCATTTCAAAGTGAGGACTGAGGCTTAAGTCAGAACTATGCATGGGATGTCTGGGCATCTGGTTGAAAACAAAAAAGCAAGCCCACTTAAGTGGAAGTGTGGGCACGTGGAAGGGGAGCAGGCTCGCAATCCGCACTCCCTCCCCCAGACCACTGCTGCTGACCCCGCAGGAGCCAGGCCTCTGGGGCTGTGCCTGTTGCCTTACCCTAGAGGTAGGCTCCATTCTCCAGGGCAGATGAATGGTATGTGTGGCATCACCAGCACAAGGCATGCTGGGGCACCACATGGAGGGAAGCTGGCAACTGCATGTAGCTGCTCTTGAAGAACCTGGAAATAAGGGGGAAAATTACAGACTAAAACAATAAAATGTGCAGAAATAAGCTTCTCTTCTGTTTGCATTGGGGTGCTTAGCACACACCCATTTCTTTGGCAAGTTCATTACTGCCTCACTGTATTAAGCCTTTGACAGACAAAGTTTGAGGTCTCCCTTCCCCCACCAAGAAGTTTCAAAAATCTAAACACAATCAGATGCTCCAGGTTTGTTAGGATTAAAATTGGTCCCAAGCACAATGCAGAAAGTGTCCTTTCAGCTGTTCCTGGGGAGGAAAGCAGCCAAGGCTGAACATACAAACAAAAATATTAATATTTCCTTATTACTTCCTAATTGCCTAGTCTGATTTAGAGAAAGCTAAGTGATTCAAGAGTACTTAACAAACAGCAGTCCTCTCCGAGTGGCACGCAGTGCAAGCTAAACACTGATGTTTGCTCTAAAGCCAAGACTTCCTAGAACAGGTAGCTACCGTCGGAATCCCAAAGCGCGTTATCAGGCACCTAAACATCCTCGTTTTCTGCGTAACCGGGGGAGCTCCTGGCCCCCTGTGACCGCAGGGTACCTGCCCGGCCTGAGAGGGTTAAGTGGGGTCACTGACCTAACGAGCATTCAGACCCCAACTTTGGGGTCCTTTCGCAGGATTCTTAGGGCAAGAGGAAGGGCAGGAGGAGGAAGGGCGGGCTGCGGCTCCGTCTGCAACGCGCATCGGCCGGGCCACCTCCGCTCCGGAGGGCCCCGCACCGGCTCAGCATCTCCGTCCCTCCCCGGCCCGCTCCCGGGCTGCTCCGGGAAAACTCCTCGGGACGTCGCCGCTCTCCGGCGGCCGACTCCAGCCCGGGCACGTCCCGGCGCAGCCTGCCCGGCTCCCCCGCCGCCGGGCGCAGGGATGCGGTCGCTTCCTCTGCCTGGCGCCCCTGGGGGGAGCCCCCCCAGCCGCCCCTCCGCCGGCCCCAGCAGGGCCTGCCCCCGGAGGGGCTGCTGTGCCGCCCCCCGCCGGCGCGCCTGCCCGCCAGCACTCACCATATTACAGATGGAGGCGATGTTTCTGACAGTCATGAGTCTAAAGGTTGCAGCGATCCCACACCGCCATCTTTATAAGGTGAAAACAGCCCCGCTCATGGTGGGAAGAGCGCAGGAAGGGAGAGGGGGCGGCGGCGGCGGCTCCTGCTCCGGGGCTGGGATAAAAGCAAGAGGAGGGGACTGCACGGGCACCCTTCGCGCCCGCGGCGCGGCGAGAAGGACGGACCTTCCTGCCCTCCCTCCTCCGGGCGAGTGGCCGGGAGGTTCAGCAGCGCGGGGAGAGCAGCCGCATCTCCGCTCCTTCCGCCTCTGACTCTCGCACGGCCCGCAGGGCCCCGGGCTCCCGCTGGAGCGCTCAGCCGCGCCTCTGCGCCAGCCGGCACCGCGCTAATCTCCCCCTTCCTCCTCCTCCTCCTCCTTCTCCTCCTCCTCCTCCTCTCCTGGCGGCTGCCGTTGCCGCTCGCCGCTCCATTGCAGCGCCGCGCCCGCTGATCCGCTCTGACCGCCCCCGGGGAGGGGGG